TTGAGTGAGTTGTTGATTGACTCAGCCACTGATGAAAGTGAGGCGAACTCTCCCATCAAGATGACACCGCAGGATGATAAAGGAGAGGTGGTATATCTGTCAAGAACCAGGAGGGGACCGATGCGATCGAAATTGGTGATTGATAAGATCAACGAGATGAAGATGAAGTTAGGCAGCAAAGTGATGCCGAGGAGAGTAGGAAAGACGGAGGTGGATTCAGAGATATCAATGAAAGCTGCCAATTCAGCGAAAGGAAAACGAGTCGAAGAGGCCATGGATTTGGGATAAGGTGATTATCAATTGCCTGGCACGGACAGAATGTTAACCGATGTAGCGATGGTGCCACCGATTCTCATGGCAGGGATAAAGTCAACAGGTTACAAATCCGAAAGGAGTGACCGCACTCTGACTGGAGCAACCTTAGATATGGAAATACTTAGCCAATGTAGAGAAAGCACAAGGAAAGACTTTAAACCATCTCCCATGAACCACGGAAAAGGAAGTGTCACAGGACAACTAGTACCAGTGGAGTATAACCGACTGACAGTGTCGGAGACTGTGTCAATAGATGAACCCGCCGGTGGATACATGGAGATGTTAGAATACCGAAACTCGGCTAGAGGGTATGTGATGGCTCTGGAAGACAAGGGTGCCATGGAGGGTTATCTGGAGACGATGTTGCGAGGCACCATCCTCAAGCAGAAGGCGTACGGGACTCTAGCGTCGTCTGAGATGCAGGCGGAAACGATCGAGCAATTAGTGAGCCTTCCATGGAAAGCAGTGGTGTTGAAGTACTTTGGAGAGGAAATGAGGACTACGCCGAGAATACACGCTCTCATGGCAGTACCTTACGTGAGAACCGATTTACAACTAAGGTTCACCTGGTGCATGATGGGATTAACTCGCGGGAAATATGATTCAGAAGAAAAGAAAAGGTCAAAAGAAGAAAAGGTATTCCTGATGACGAACCTGAGGGATCTGATAATCCAGGAGGGAATGGCAGTAGCGTGCGCGAAGCGGAGAGGCGTTCTCTGTTTTATTCGATTCCTGATAGAACAGATTTCAATGCCAGCATTGAAAACCTGTGTCAAGATGCTGAGGGAGGGCGACGAACGAGCAAAAGCCTTATTCTTGCTAGCACTGCTGGATATGCATCAGAGCAAACCGATGAGGGTGAACATGAAAGAACCTGAAGAACTAGAACCCATGAGAAAAATAGACGAGATCAGAAGATTCTCAAACAAGGAGCTGAGACTCACTAAAGAATCTAAGGGGGGCACTATCGAAATCCAGTGAGAACTGTGGACCGATCAAGAAAAAGTCGTACAGCTACGTGTCCGGAATCATTGAGATAGCGTACAACCCTTCCCTGAGTGAAGACATACGCGATTGCTTCTTTGATTACGAACAAGCAGTGTTGCTAAGGTTCTGGACGTCAAGAATTGCAACGATTCAAGGCGCTACTAATCCGCAGACCAAGTTGAGACTAATCTTGGAAGAAAAGGTGACTGCACCTTCTGTGCCAAAATCCGATAAACGAGTGGAGTTTGAATTGGGATTCTCCAATGAATTACTGAGAACGAGCTTGATGGTAGTGTTGGAACTGATGCGACCATCATGGTCTCCTATTCCCAATGCTGACTCGATACTACGAGCGACACAAGATGTGCAGAGGGAACTAAACGCAGACTGTAACCTGCGTGACCTGAACATCATATATAATGTGATGACAACAGCCTCTAGGAGCAGCGGGGAAGACAAAGTGGAGTTGACTGGCTGGGGACCAGAAGACTGGGTCAAACCTGGTAGCTGTCTGGTAGATGTCTGTGGACTGAAAGGTCACGTTTGTGGAAGTCTGGATTGCGTGAAAACCCTAGAGAGACAACACAAGCAGTTGACGATATTGTTTGGGAACGTCATGATGAAAACAAGGACAGAAACGGAACTGATCGCAGATTGCCATGGAGGAACCGAGGTGAATCTAGTGACTGCACTAGGATTCTACAGCATGTTTAGTTCTTTAGAGTCACTGTTGAATCTAGAACAGAAACATGAGATGGTCACAGCCATCAGTGTAGAAGTATTCCCAGGAGTTCTGCAAACCGAGCAGAAACACATAGGAAAATGGAGGGAAGCGATCGAGGCGGAAATTAACATCAGACACAGTGAGATTTATTGTAGACCATCAGGAGCAAGATATTTGGTGGGCTTGACATTGGCTCCAATGTGCAAGAGCAGATACCCGGTGCATTTCGTAGCTGTGGATGTAAAGAGTACGAGAACGATCGTGGATCAAGCCTTCTCAGTGCCAAAGTGTGTGAGACTAACGAGAATGTCCGAAAAATCTTACGAGTTGCTATGTAAGATGTTCTCAGCAGTTCCAGAGAGAACAAAGGAGGAGTTGGAATCGATACTGGGAAGGAATTTCATGGGATACGTGAGTGGGAACTTCAGTGATTTGGAGAGACAGAAACGGAGAGGATCAACTGTTACAGATTACAATACAGTAGACGAGAATGATGAAGTCCACCGAGTGATGATGGAAGTGGAACCATTACTGGAAGCTTCGGGAAAACGTAATTGGAGAAGCATCATGTTGACACATGACGAGTTTCCCTGCCACTGCCTGCTGCAGACCTGGTGGTATCCCAAGCGTGGTAATCTGGTGTTGATCTGGGATTCTGGAGAGCTGCTCTCTATGGGTTTACCAGACTCATCACAGCCCATAACAATAGTGATAGTGGGAGTTATGATGGCGATACGATGGCTGGAAGCTCACGTAAAAGAGAACAATAGACAGGAAGCGCCAACGAGAGAACAGTTGCTGAAATTGGATTGTCTGAAAGATCTTTTTGAGACAATGTGCAAGATTCTAAGCATTCCGATGGAAGTGAAAAAGATATGGGCAAGAAGACGATTGATGCCATGGTTCAGAGCTAACATGACTGCATGGTTGTACGAATATGCCAAAAAGCATATGTCGAAGCACGGCAGAGTGTACAGTGGATATCAGCTGGACATTGGAGCAGGAGCTTTCAAGCGAGCTTTCGTGACTCATCGGAATGCAGTGACCACCGCTGTAAAACGAAATTCCAGGACGAGTGAACGTAGTGGAAAGGAGAAGGAAGAGTTGTTGAAGGAAGATTTGGAGAGAAACGTGACGGTGTGTCTCCACAACAGCTTCTGCAGGAACAGAGAATCTAACGTGGATCCCCTACCTTGTTACAAACAGAGGGTAGAAGAGCAGAAGTGTTGGAGGACTGCTTCAAAATAGCTAACGATGTGATGCAAGACACAGAAACTGAAAGTGCAGAGTCAGTGTCACAGGAGGAAGAGATGGTACATTGACAAATGGTCGAAAGATCAAGATGCAAAAAGAAAGAAAATTAGAAGAATTTAGAAGTTTTAGAACTTCTAAATGACGAAAAGAAGAGAAACAAAGGAGTGACGAAAAAGAAGAAGTTAAAACTTAGAATTGTTTTATGTGTGTAAAAAAACTCGAGTGAGAAACCCAGCAACCATGTTGTAATTGAAAACTGAAACATTTAGTTGAGTTTTGAACATCGAAGAATTTGTTGCATTTATAAATTTGCATTTTGATTTTAGTTAGTGGCTTTAGAGACACTTACTATTTATTTAGAAAGGCTTGAGTAAAGAGTATATTTAAATATTCCAGCCTGCATGATTGTTTTTAATCAACTAGGAGAACTGATCACTTTGTGGTGACATGAAAGGCTTGGGTAATCTCTTCAAGAGGGAGATTGTTTCATTGTTCTTTCTAACCACAGAGTTCCTTAGTTTTCATATTCAGGACAATAACAAGCAAGATTTCCAAAGGGAAGAAGCATAGTAGGATAATTTTAGCTTGTTGGTTGGCAGGACTGTCCTGCAAACCAACATCTTTTAAGATCTAGGAGAAAAAGTTTTAAATCAGGACATTGACATTGGAAGTCAGAAAAGATGTTTTTATCTTAGGTCATATCCTCAATGTGCAGATAAGTGAAAAAATTGGAATGCTATAGTGATGTAGTGTGATGCCATTTATATTCTGCAGTGAGTCGATATGACGCGGATAAGAGTAATTTCGTGCATTTCGTAAATTCTGTTCGATGACACTACCAATTTTACGAACATTGCGAGATTCAATGGGGACATTGACCGGACTGTCCGGGGAGTATGTGACATTCGACCAGAATGGACGAAAAGGCAGAGTCGAAATTTTAGCAGCTAGCCTTCCGAATTAGCAGTTTTTAAGGATTAGCAGTGTTATTGGAACGATTAGCCAAACGGTGAAGGCTAGAATATTCTGGTGTTTCAAATTTTTAAATTTTCGAAGTATGACGTCATATTTCTGAGAAACGTCAGAAACGACCATTTTGGCAAAAAGGCCGAAATAAAACACAACAACAACAGTAGTTGCGACGATAACAACGGAAAAACTTAGAATCGGAATTAGAGACGAGCAGAAATAGCAGAGACCGTTCCGAGTTGCAACTATTGTGTCGCTACAATAGTTGCAAGGCAGTTGCGAACAACGGTGAAGGGTAGAAGACAGCCTTCCGGAAGGAAAATAGAGGTCTTATTTCCCCGGATTCAAGAATCTGGAGGGGTCTCGGGACTGAAACTCATAGCATTTTTTATAAACTTTTAGCTTCCCTATTATGTCCTGAATTGAATTTAATTAACATCTGAATTCATTTTGCTAGGATGATAAGCTAGGAGTTGGGGGAAAAGGTTGATCCATCTTCGATCGAGATGATGATTTTTATCTACTGAGCAAAAACAATAATAATTCAATAAATAGTAGTAGCCCTGTTTTTAGGAGTGACCTCGTAGTCTGGGGATACTGAGACCCAGCCATGAGCTCACTGATTTTGCATGTAATTAGGTTAATTTGAGCGTTCTGGTCGAAGCCGGAGAACAGTAACGTTTTTGTCGACCCGATGTTAGAAAGACCACCAAAAGAACTGGCTTTGGTAGAGACGGTGAAAAACATGTAAAGCTCTGCTTAGACGTTGGCCAGTCGTCTTAGGACCTAGCTTTATTTTCCGTCGATATGTATCTTCCGGGCGAATTTTACAGGCTTTAAACTATCTGAATGCGTGGGCAACTTCGCACAATTAGGCTATTATTTTTAACTAATCTTTTAGAATTTTTATGCCTCATTAAAGCCATATTTGCTGCTGTCAATATTGTTTTTGGTGTCATGGAAGCCGATAAGATTGTTGTCCATGCGATGCCTCCTTATGGGGGATCTATATCAGCATCACCTTTCCCTATTCGAGTTGAAATGTTTCTCAGATTGGCAAAAATTCCTCATACGGTGTCTAAAAAATCTCCATTTCATTCCTACACTAAGAAGACGCCCTGGGTTGAGTATAAAGGTTAATCGATTTAAGAGGTTAATTAAATCTAGGTTATGGAACATTGTATGTATGTATGTGCAATTTCAACTTAACTTACGCAGCTGATATTAAGGATAAGTATTTTGTTACAATCACGTGTGTTTTTTTAATGTTTATGTGCAAAGACACGGATCGTTACTGAAATTCAGATATATGATCATATTGAAGATTTCTCAGTAGCAATTCGATCGATAAAAAATTTTCAATTTATTTTCTCAGGGTTCAAATTTTGTTCCTGATTTTTGTGCGAGACAAGTAATTATAATTTTTTATTGTTTAAAATGATCAATGATACAAAATTACTTTTTTTGTGAATATAAGTACACATGATAGAAGGAATAAAAAAAGTAAATAACGAACGTTTTTGCACATTTGTAAATCAACAGGTTCAACAGAATTAAAATTTTACAAAATGATCATTGACCTTGAAAATTCCTAGGTTATTTGACATCACAAAATATTTAAAAAATCAACCAATCATACGTATGCAAGATTAAAATTTGGTCAAATCTACATAACGATTATTTAATTACCCTTGCAAGAGCAAGTGTCTTGTAATCGGGAACAAGACTTTTCCGTAAACAACTTTTCTAAGAAATCTCATTTGCTTTTCTTTCTTGCTTTATTATTGAAGCTTAGCTTCCTGATTCGATCCCTTTTGCCTAGAGCTAGAGGTAAAGTCCTGTTCTTTTCACCGTTAGGTCAGGGGTTCGAGTATCGGTCTAACCTTTTCAGTAAGTATGCAATTGAAACAAACGTCGGGTAAAAATCGAATTGTCGGACTTGCAGCTTTTAAGTGTCGGCTTTAATTCTGTCTGCTCATTTGCCTAATAAATTTTCTGTTTCATGTCGTTTTTTTTTAAATTAATACAACTTTGATAAGGTATAATTAGAAATTTGAAATCACTTCTGCGATCTCCATTTTAAAATGTTGTAAGAAAAATCATGAATTTTTTTTTTTTTGGAATTTGCTGTCGAGTTTTTCTGTTTTCAAGAAAGTTTTTCGGATATTTTTCCTGATACTTCTTGATCGGCCTGCTGTTCTTACTATATTCTTTTTTGGCGAGGGTAATTAAAGTCATGAGTTTATCGGCAATTTTCTTGGTGTTATTTTTTAATCAGTTCTTTCGTCAATTGATTTATATTTTGCATTAAGTGCTTTCTAGCCTCTATATTTTTATAGAACGATAAATTCTCTAAGCAACAGACACGGTTTTTGAGGCGGCATTAAGTGCTATCATATCAGATCACGAACTACCTCAAAATTGTTTCTATTCATTTTTTGTTGTAATGATTTTTTATTTGCTGTTCAAGTTAAGGCAGGCTTATGTGATTTAGGTGTTTCGTTTTTATACCTAAAAAAACTTGATGACAGCGAAAAAATGAAATTGACGACAGTTTTTTCATTTGGATAGTTTTTTCGTCTTAGTTTGTGTAGACGTAGTTCAGAGCAACTTCTTGTCCTGGTTCCTCATAACTTTTGAGAGTTTTTGCGTGCTAATCGATTCAAATTAATGTCACATTGATTTTTAGACAAAAAATCAAAAGTATCAACTTTTAATTCCTTTGATAATCCTATGTTTGGGTTTTTTAGGACCATTTATCCCATGTCCGTTTTGGTCTGCCTTTTTACCGACATCTCGGCGAAATTTTATGCGAGTTCAATGCTGGTTGTTGTGTTCCGCCACGGTATTTCATTTTGAGATAATCATTGACAATTCCGAAGGCCATAACTTTTTATGATTATCTCAAAATGAAATACTGTGGCGGAACACAACAACCAGCATTGAACTCCCACTAATCGTTAAATCCAATGAACCCACAAAATCAAATTTGAGACCTTTTTTTTGAGAAAAATAAAAAAAAATGATTTTTCTCGAAAAATGTGGTCTCAAATTTGATTTTGTGGGTTCATTGGATATTATGATTAGTGTTAAGCTCATCTGTATTAGCGGCCACTCTCAAAGAATTTTACACAAAACGATAGTGCCCTCGGAAAAGTCAAGTTTTTAATTTTTTGACTGTTTTTAAAGGTTTTGAATGTTCTCGAAAGCTACATTGCCATATCTAAGGTTTTGGGTTCAATTCAAATACCGATTGTGGGAAGCTTTTTTTTTCAATGCAACTGCGCTTAAGTTCTTTGGACACTAAAAGTTTTAACCCTCTTTTTGTAAGTTTTCGAACTTTCTCGAACTACCTTCCCAATTCTTGAGATTTTGGGCTCAATCGAAATTAAAGGTTATGTGAATCCCTGCTTCTTAAGCGGCCGTGCCCTATTTTTTAAACTAAAAAGCTACGCGTCTCGGAAATATCACTTTCATATGTTGACAGTTTTTGGACTTTTCTTGCTAACTATCCTGCCAAATCTGATATCATAAGTGGAAGCGAAATAGGTTGTTGAAAACCTACCTTTTTAGTAAGCTATTCTCAATTGTTTAAGAAAATAGTTATGGCCTATAAACAAGACAATGTTTTGAAACTTCGATATTTTTTTGGAAATTTTTAGACGTTACGCGAAAACTACCGTGCCCATTCTCAGGTTGTGTTCAATCGAAAAGCCTGGTTTTGTTGATGTTTTTTGCTTATGCGGCCACAACCTGCTTGTTCCAGAAAAAGTTATGGATTGTGGAAAAACTTTCGACCGTGTTTAAGAAACTTTTTGAAAGAAGTGGTTGCACGAAATTTTCCCGCAGAAGCGGCCACTCTTTTAATTTTTGCAAAAGAAAAGTTGTCGGGAAAATTTCATAATTTTCACTCCTCATTTATTTTATTAAAGAAACAACTAAGTTTTGGGCAAATTCCAGTTTATGAAGTTAAGCATTTCGTCCCGCATTAAATAAATTGAAAGTTTTTCAAACACGTCAAGCTTCAGCTGGGCCCTATATGTGCTTCATTGAGACATACGGAAATATCGGTTCACCAAGTTTTTTATGTTTGTGTTGTATCGCAGGTAATTCAAAGCTGCGTTTTGCCTTTTGTAATGCACTGCTTTTATTAATTAACCCGCATGGTTTCTAGATGTTATTGCATGTTATTAACTGGAGTTGATTTAGCAGTATCTCAATACGGACGCATGGGCCCCGACAGCATGGATTCTATCTCTATCACTTTCTCAGCTGTTTGAATTTAACTTTGGTTAGTAAACTTTATTACTTTCAGCTAGCTCGATATTCAATATTATGTCCCAACTAATAACTCACTATTTACTTTTAATAAACACTAACTTGTTCAACTGCATGCTTGGGATTTTAACATTAATAATTTATGACATCAATTTCTAATATAGCACTTATTTCATGGCTATCAATAGCGTGCCATTTATGGGTACGCTACACTTACACTGTCGAATTATTTCCTGGCGACTGTTATTAGCATCGGGGTTACAATTTAAATACAGTATCTACATAAAATTTGGTGAGTTTCTAACTTCAAACTGTAGTAATTTCATTTAGTTGCATTTCAAAGGGAAACTGCAATGTTAAAAGCATAATAAATTTTAGGAACGAATTAAAAGTTATACGGTATAATTCAATTTCAATAATTTTAAATCAATTTAACTCAATAAATTTTCTATAAATTTACTTTTATAAATGGGTAAATAACAAACTAAACCGGCTTTAAATTAGGTTAGGCACAGGGTTAAAGCTGGTTGATGTACACCAAATGTGCATAAAATAAAGGTTTTAAACTATATACACTCAAATGGATTGGTTCTGTTATCAAATTTACATACACGAATTGTGTATTAAAGAAATTTTAACTTCACAAATGTATAAAATTAAGGTTAAACAGGTAAGTTTAAATTAGAACTTGAGTTCAGGGAAAATAAATAGTGCTGCTAGCACTTATGAGATTCAGGTTACAATTAAGCCACCACTTGAGTCATAGAATCAATGTTTGGGAACGTCATGGTCAATTAAATGATATAATCAGTGTCAGTAATGAAAGATGAAATGGCAACTTATTCGCATCTCAGTCTTCCTATACTTCAGGTCGTCTCCTCGTTGTATTGAGCTCCTATTTGGATAGAAGGAGGTTTCACACCTAAGATTCCTGTATTAGGAGTCAGTTTCATTCCTCCGCTGTAGTTTCGTGAAGTCTTTCCTTGGTGTGATGTCGTTGAGATTTCGCCCATTGATCTCGTTCTATTCATGTCTATTCTGCTTCCCTGCATTGATAGTGTCTCGTCGTTTAGTACTGCATCCTCCATCTGTCTGTGATGTTGTGGTACTGCAATCGTGTCGTCAATTACGTCTAGAATCGTGTATTTATTCTGCCATTCCGCTCGTGTTTCCATAAGTCTAGCTGTTTTTTCATCTCTGTCGCGTTCATCAATGTCCATTGCGACTACTGGCTTTATTCGTATATCTCCATAAGCTGTCTTTAGAAATTGTGGGGTTATGTCTCGAACTGCTTTGAATCGATGAAAAAGATAAGTGCACAAACACTGGAGTAGTGTGCTTCCGATGAAAACTATGACGGTCAGTGTCAGTGAAAGTTTTATTGGTACATAGCTTTCGAGTTTCTCTGTTAAGGTTGGTTTCAAAAGTTTCATTCCGTCGGCGATTGGTTTTGAAATCTCGTCCAATTGTTCCATGTTCGTGACTATTGGGCTGTCAATAAGTTTTATTTTCACTTGTTCCAAAAGTCTAATTCCGGCGTCCGTTTTTGATTCGAAGTATGGTAACTCATTAATTTCCGGAATTGTAGAGAGTAGGTGTTCCAATGGATCAGACAGTGTGACATTGATTCGTCTTGCTGGAATTTTGTCACAACTTTCCAGATCTGGTCTGATCTTGATATTTCTAGTTGTTAATTGCGTCCTGCAATCCAAAGTAATGATGCAAATGTTGCATCCTGAATGCTCTCTGCGGGATGGAGTATGAACCTCATGCAGGTTGTACTCCCACAAAGAGAATGACGAAGAGGCTGATGTGATTAGCCAGATACCGTATCCCAAATTCGTGGCTCGTTCCGGC